ACTTTAAATATTTACCTTGTCGATGAAGTCGCAAGCCTCTTTCTTCTCCTTTGAAGGGAAGTGAAAGACGGCGTGAGGAAAGAGAACGCCAGCCGGTTCAAATCCGTCGCCGGACAAGAAAAGTGGGCTGCCGGGAGCGATGGGAGCTACTTCTTCGTTTTCCATTCTTAAAATATTTCTCAAGTGAGATTCTATAGTCATGTTTAATAAAGCCTAGAGGTAGGTAAGCCTTTATTTATAATGATTTAGGGTTTGTCTTGGAACCATAAATCCATTAATGGTAGCGTTTCCGAGTGGGTTAAGCCACTTTTGGAAAATCGAGAAAAGGCAATTATTACATTAAAAGACGAGCCGTTCTCTTTAAGAAGGGAAAGAGCAACCGTCACATTAATTGCAAAAAGTTTCTAAGGCCCAAGCCTGACAAGTTTACCGAGTTGACTAAACCCGAAGCGGGGAACTCGTTTTAAGCCGAGCTCAGCTCTCGCATTCTAAAGAGAAAGGTCTGATCAGCCTAAAAATCTCGAAAGCATTGCCACAAGGCCACAAAAGGTTAAAAGCGGACTTTGCAAACCCGCATATAATTTTAACCAGACCCCCTTGGGCCACAGCCTAAGAAAGGTTTAAAAGCCTCCTCAGGCAAATATTTTGTTCAAAAGAAAATAATAAAGCCTCCTTAGGCAAAGACAAGTTTGAAATTAAGTCTTAAAAATAAAGGGACAGTCCCCAATTTAAAGTGGACACAGCCACTACGGAGCAGCAGCCACCTCGGAATCCGGCTCAACAGTCGAAGCTTCATTCGCGTCCTTGGCAGCTGCTTGATCAGATGAAGCTCCTTGACCACCCTCCGCGGTACAACCAACCTCCGGAGTGACCTCTGGTACCATTGGAGCTGCGGGCGGGACAACGTTTTCCGTCTCACTTGAACCTAGAAATAATGATTCCAGTCAATCAAAGGTACAAGGTAAGAAAAAGGTAAGCCACAGGAACCAAGCGTTACCTGCCCAGTCTAAACCCGATTCACTGATAGGAGGTGATTCAGTAAAGAAAGCCTCGAAGTCAAGCGGGTTGAAGATCGAAGTGGGAAGAGCTGCTAAGCGACTCCGTTTCTCAGAAAGGTTAGTCGACAGCTCGGTCCTTTCTTGCTCCTCGGAGAAATCAGCTTCATGGATTTGGTCCAGCAGAATCAAGTTGCTTTCGTGCTCCTTGATGTCTGACTCCAAGTCCGACCTAGCTTTCTCGGTTTGCATGAAGCGAATGGCCCCTTGGATCAATTCCATCCCGCGTCCCTTAACCTCCTTTCTGGCCTTCGATGCCGACCTTGCCAACTCAGAATCACGCAATTTGGCTAGCGCCTTGTACTTCGCGTCGAGCTCGATAAGTTGGTTGTTCAGGGTGTCGGCGGCTGATTCGGATTCGTGAAGTCTACCCTGAACACCAGACAGTTCGTCCTGGAGTTTGTAATTCCGGTCATAGTAGTCTTGCAGTTCCCCCTTTACCTGCGCCAACTCCGACGTTAACCTATCGACCTTATCCTCCAAATCGTGCTTAGAGCCAGCAGAAGAGTTGAGGTCAGCCTCAAGCGCTGAGAATTTCTTCTTCCACATGTCGATCTCCTTCTCCCGTCCAATGACCAACCCTTCGTAATGTTCGATCATGTCGTTAAATTCGCTTTGAGCCTGGCGTTATACATGAACCCGGGATGACGAGTCAGTTCGCAGAATGGCAATACAATAAAAAATATACGCAAAAGAAAGCGGAACAAACCCGAGAAGAGTGATGCGCGTGAAGCAAATAACGTTCACGAATCGCAGGGCGCCATTTGTCAAAATCTGGCAAGATCGAACCCGATCGGGTCTTGAAGCATCGGAAGACGCTGCCTTCTTTCTCCATAGCTGCGAAGAAGGAAGGGTTGTAAAAATTGGAATTTTAATAAAGACAAAAAATTTAAGTGTGTGTAAGTCACCGAACCTGAAAGCGATTTGACTTGAGGTACAAGAGCAGGCTTCAGCCTCGAGGGAGCATCTCGAGATTCAGAATCTCCCTTTTTCGGAGACGCACTCCGAGCAGTCTTTCCACTATCAGGCTGGGAGGAGGAAGACATATCAACCGGACGTGGAGGACCCATTGGTTCAGGAGGAGGAGATGATCGAGGTGAGCGGTCAGTCCGGGCCCTCGACTTTTCCCTCTGCGGAGAAGAATCGCTGCGAGAAGACTTGTCTCTCTTCCGGCGAACCAAGTTCTTAATCGGCTCGTTACTAAAATCATCTCGGGGAGGACGAGGTGAATCACGGCGAGGAGATTGAACCCTCCGAGGAGAACGCGAGTCGCGACGATCGCGACGAGGAGTTAATCTGAAGGAAGCGACAGATCGAGCTCCCTCGGTGCTGCCGTCATCAACTAGCAAGGTTCTACTGTAGTCCTTCTTGTCTATGGAAGTCGCGAGGAACTTCTTCTTCTCCTCGCAAGCCTCAGCCATCGGCTTGGAAAGCAACTTACGCTTGGCCGCAAGGGCCCGAGATGACATTCCTTGAGTTGAGGGAGGGGGAGGAATTTGGTGAAGATGACCAGGCGGACTCATCCTGAGTCTGTGGTTAGCTTCCAGGAATCGTTCAAGAGTGAAGGAATTCCAAAGGGTTTCCCCTTCAAGAATTATTTTGAAGAATTCGATGAACTCTTCAGATGGGAGGTTGGAAGCGATGAAAGCTGCGAAATGAAACAACGGTGTTAGTCAATAAAGATAAAGAAACAACCGGGAAAGATACGGGCAACCTAATCACTACCGGGTTTCGCAGACCACTTCGAAGGGAGAAAATCAGCGAGATTTCCAATCGAAGCGGGGGTTTTCTTAATTAGAAACCAAGGATGATGCCAATTTTCATCCTTGTTCGGAAGATGTGAAATGATGTTCCTGTTGGCATTAGGATATGCTGAGAAATATCCCGTTTTCTTCGATGAACTTCTCACGCTCAGAAGCTCATTCAGTTCAGCAACTCCGATAACATAACCGGCCTCCGCCGCGATTATTATAATTCCAAGAATTGTACGGAGAAGATTGGGGGTTAATTGAGGAAGAGCGATTTCAAGAGCCGCTAGGTATAAAATTAGGGCTTCGGGAAGAGGAAAGGTAAGCCCGCAACCCTTGAAATAAATCTCATACACACAGAAGTAACCATCGCGATGGTTCTCCGGAGATTCTGTGGGAGAAGCTATTTGTGCTTCCGCCATAATTTCCGGCGGAATCCGGCAAAGCTCTCTCAATCGCTCGAGGGATTGAAGAGTACAAGTGGACCTGTAGTGCGGACCGGCAATGTCACCAGGGCGGGTGCACTCGTCGTTACTAGAACGCCTCTCGTCAAAAGACGGAGACTCGGGTCTATCGGAATCAGAAGTCATTGGGAAGAAAGAAAAATTCAAGATCCGGCGAAGAAGGATTTTGGTGAAGGAACGAAGAGAGAGGTTTTGATTAAAGTACAAAAGTAAAAGAAGAGAGTAATGGTGAAAAGAAGTTACCTCAAGCTAATGATGAAACCGCCTCGGAAGTCGTGTGGGAAGTGGGAAGGTTTTTCCCGTTTTAATAGTAATTAATCAATATACGGTCATAATGATGACAGATGTCACTCGGTTAAAAATGGATAGTGCCAAAATTAAAGGAGTGATGAGATTTTCGGCGGGAAATCAGAAAGATTCTCGAGCGCAATCTTTGGCCACTTGAGCATTTAAAGTCCTCCGAACTGGAATAGCACTTCGAAGAACTTGGGGGGCTAATTGTTGGTGTCGGATCCCGCACCAGAAGTACGAGACCAACCAAAGATTGCCACGTGATCAAGATAATGGCCCATAAAGGATGAAGCCCATTGGACCCGTGAGCCGAAGGGACGGTCGAAGTGGTTGTCACCATTTCGAGAATCCGAAGTGACTACACTGTGACACGAATTCGGTGTAGAAGACACGGGTAAGTCGGTTCACGAACACTTGGGCCGAAAGAGGCGAGGCCCATGAAGATCAGAGTCAACTCAAATTCAAACGTTGAGCATTAAAGCCGAAGAATCAAAACGGACACATTTAAGAAGAAATAATTGTGCTTAATTACTCATTTTAATGTCGTTTATCGGTGTATAAATATAGAGGCCGATGGCCATGTAAAGGGGATCTTCCTCTGGAGAGAAAAATAATATAGCAATTTTCGTATCAATTTATAAGTTTTCATATATTCATTTTTGTCCCCCAAGAATAAACTTTCCCACCTAACAAAAATACTTGAGTGTGTGAATCCGACATCCACAGTGGGCGTTAGTTTTGTCTATCAACTGTTTGTCAAAATGCATGACAGAAAACTTTAATTTGTTATGTTTCTAATATAGAACACTTAGTTGACGAACTAAATTAGATCTATTTGTTTTTGTAACCAGCTTTTTTTATTTTTTCTGATGCTTTTTGTTTTTTGTGGCCAAAATTTTGCAGAGAGGATTTAGAGGGTGACATTGAAATCAACAAAAAGTCTCAGCATTCAAATATAAAACAAGAGGAAGTCTTAGCTTTAAAGTAGATTGTTTGTGGCGATATTCTGTTATAACACCAAAATTTGATTCCTTTGAACTCTTTTCTTTCCAGGTTTTCCAATAATGTTTTATGTGTGTATACTACAAAAAATGCAGGGTTCTCATTAATAAATCATTTTTGCATATTGTAGCAAATTCTAGAGTTAAAAGGCATGCCTAATTCTCCAAAGTTTGTTTTTATGAATCAATCTTAACAGTTTTTATTCCATTTCTCCCATGGACTTAGATCTTTAGTAAGAATGTTATTCGGATGTATTCATCTTTCATACCTAATTCTTATTGTAAAATTGTTTACCTTACGATTACAAAATTTAACATTAAAAGTTTTTAATATTTACTAATGAAGGCTTTGATTTCAACCTTCACAAACAAGAGCATCAAGATTATGATTGTTTTCGAAAAATTATTCAAAACATTATTGTGCTATCGTTGTTTGACCCGTACGAACTTAACACTAGTAGTTCAGATAAATGTTTGGAGGCACGAAGGTGATAAGAAATCGTGCCATTTTCATATTGGAAAACCGAACATCAAGCCACTTTTTGCCGGCCGGTCCAAATTTGAAATTTCCAGTTCTGACGGAGTGGTGAGTGAGCCGTAGCCGCCGACGAGACGAGACGATTAGATGACTCTGCAAAGCTTCTTAAAAACCCTAAAGACAGCTAAACAGACTTATCCATTCTCAATCTACAAGCTCCTCCTTAATTCTTCCTCTATAAACCAAACTCTTGATTCATCGGAAAACCCACTCTCCGATCTCAATCTCTCCACCTTTCGCCGTATTTTATCCGACCCAGATATCAAATCATGGAAATGCATCTCCCTCTTCAATTTCATCCTCGAAAACCCATCTCTTTTCTCATTCCAACCTGATCTCAGAACTCACTTGTCTCTCACTTCCCGTGTTTTGTCGGAGAGGAGATTCTCAGATGCGAAAGAACTCTTGAAACTTGTGGCTATTGACGACATTCTCAGGTACCCTTTTAAAGTAATCGTCTCTAGCTTTGTTGATGAGTGTGGTTGTGAGACGAGAGTTGTTGCTAGGTTCTTTAATTCGATGCTTATGGTTTATTCAGACAATGGAAAGTTTGATGAAGTTGTTGAGGTTTTTGAGTATATGAAGAACAATGAGGTTAAGATTGATGAAAAGGCATGTACTTTGCATCTGTTGAATCTCAAGAAATGTGATCAGATGGAATTAGCTAGAGATTTCTTTCGTTTAATGGTTGAGTCAGGGCTAGATGTTGTATCTGTGTACTCTTTGACGGTTGTTGTTACCGCGTTGTGTTGCAATGGAGAGATCACGAGAGGAAGAGAATTGGTGGAGGAGATGGTTTTGGTTAAAGGGATCAAGCCTAATATTGTTACGTTTAAGTCGATGATAGATTGTTGTGTCAAAAGATGGGATTTTGAAGAGTTGGATTTGATTTTAAAGTTAATGGAGAAGGAAAGTGTGACGCTTGATCTCGATAGTTACAAGGTTTTGATTGATGGGTTTACTAGTTATGGTAAGCTTGAAGAAGCAGAGAGGTTGGTTTCGACTATGCATGATAAGAAGCTGAGAGTAGAGACTTATCTGTATAATTTGATCATGAATGGGTATTGTCGGTTCGGACTAGTGGAGAAAGCGTTTGAACTACACAGCGAAATGAGTTCTCGAGGTGTTACTCCCAATAAGGATACGTATTGGGTGTTGATGAATGGACTTTGTAAAGCTGGGAAAGTGTGTGAAGCGATTAGTTTGTTGAACGAGTTGCGAGTAAATGAGTTTGAGATTGATAAAGAAATGTATATTGCATTGACTGAAGGGTGTTACAGAGTAGGAATGATAGATAAATCTTTAGAAGTGGTGGCTGAGATGATTAGGGAAGGGTTCATTCCCGACGCTACGATATGTGAAAGATTAGCTGATGCATTGTTTGAAGTAAACCGGAAAGAGGCACAAATGATGGTTACTTTGTGGTTAAGAGTGGCGTCAAACCAAAATCTTGTTCTGAATTTGGTCCGAAATGAAGATGACACACATGTGCCCTACCAAGTCTCCAACTACAAAAACTTGGTGTCGAAGATATGGTAATCTAGCTCAACTAATACTCAAATATGCAAATGAAGTATAGTGATGTGCACAAAGTTGGTTCTATACCTCCAAAAGATGCATATGTAATATACATTCTTTGAAAGATTAGTGGTTCCAGATGAAGATGAAAGCGAATGGTGATGATCAAAAACAAGGTGGAGAAGGATTGATGAGGACAATGAACATGAATTTGATTAGGTCCATGTTGCTGAATCTTCCATGACAACCGAAATAAGATCGAGATTTCTTGAAGATTGAAGGTAAATCAAAATTTTTGAATCTCATAACCTTTTTTCCTTTTTAATTCTAGAACTAGAGAACCCAATATTAGCCTATTCTATTTACTTTTTGTTCGAATTTGTTCAAACTTTTCAAGTTTGGAATTTAAAATGGGTCAAAATTATTAACATATTTTTTTCTAAACTTGTGGGATCCGAACCAAATAAAATTTATCAACCTAAATTCATATTCGGCTCGGTATAAAATTTTCTATAGCGCTCTTACTATTACAAAATTAGTTTGGTTTCACGTTGATGAATTTTTGTAACTCAACCGAATTAATCTTGATTAATTGTTATTTTCAATTATTATATAAAATTAAGAAAAAAATATCATATTTATCATAAAATAATCATTTTTATCCAAAATTGTATCAAAATTAAACTCGACCCAAAAGAAATTTTGGATATAGTTTGGATAATAATAAATATTAAAATCGATTGTCCGAGCTTGTAAATTGAAATTGTTTACATAAAAAAACTATAATCGTAACGAAACCGTTTTATTATATCTCAACTAGATTTAAAATAACAATTTTATATAATTTTTTACAAGGAAACTAAAAAATTCAATTTGGAAAAAAATTATAAAATAGAGTTTAGGAAATAAGAATGTTAAACCAAATTTTATTTATTTATTTAAATTTTAGTATAATGGTTTGTTTGATTTTAAATTGATTTTATTGATATTAGGTGTTATTTTACCTTTTACTAAAAGGCCAGGGTTTAAAAATTCATAAAAAAAAGTGAGGTTTTTTTTACCCATTTTTCCCTCTATTTCCTTAAAACATTCACACATATCTTTTTTTAGTGGTTCACATTTAATTTTTATAAATCATAACATAAAACTATCTATATATCAATTAAATAGTTTATATGTTGTTATTTCTATTTCTTTATATTTTTTAGAAATTATAATATAATTATTTTTATTAATATTAGTTTTAATTGATATTCATTGGGATTGATACAAAATAATAAACTAATATTTTTTAGTTAATACAATAATATAATATTTTTGTTTAAAATGAAATTTTAAAAATTCAAAATTATGTTATGACCATTTTTATATTTTTAGTCAACATTTTGATAAAATTATAATAGTTTTGATATATTTTTAGTCAACATTTTGATAAAATCTTGTATAGTTATTATTATTTTCCCTTATATATAGATTTCATATCTTCATTATTTTCCTTAATAACATTTCTTATATTATCTTAATTGTGATATTTAAGAAAACATAGCTCTTTGATTGTATTATTCATTATAGATTGCATTGCGTCTGAAAAACCAAAAATATTATTTGATATCAATGTCTCTTGCAACCACAATGATCGCTATCTTTCTTCAAATCATTACATATTTTCTCTTTACCACCACAGCCTCATCACCTCACGGCTTCACTATTGACTTGATCCACCGTCGTTCTAATGCATCTTCTTCTCGAGTCTCTAATACTCAGGCCGGATCACCTTATGCTGATACAGTCTTTGATACGTATGAGTACCTGATGAAACTACAAATCGGTACTCCTCCTTTCGAGGTCGAAGCGGTCTTAGACACAGGAAGCGAGCTCATATGGACACAATGTTTGCCTTGTCTTCACTGCTACGACCAAAAGGCTCCCATATTCGACCCTTCGAAATCCTCAACCTTCAAAGAGACAAGATGCAACACACCTGACCACTCTTGTCCTTACAAGCTTGTCTACGACGACAAAAGCTACACCCAGGGAACCTTAGCGACCGAGACAGTCACAATCCATTCCACTTCAGGAGTTCCCTTTGTGATGCCTGAAACAATTATTGGTTGTAGCCGCAACAACTCAGGGTCAGGGTTTAGACCGAGTTCTTCGGGCATTGTTGGTCTAAGCAGGGGTTCTTTATCCCTCATCAGTCAGATGGGCGGGGCATACCCAGGTTTTATCTCTTACTGTTTTGCTGGTAAGGGAACTAGTAAGATCAATTTTGGAGCGAATGCTATTGTGGCAGGAGATGGGGTTGTATCAACTACTATGTTTGCCAAGACCGCGAAACGAGGTCAATATTACCTAAACCTAGATGCGGTCAGCGTTGGGGACACCCGCATTGAGACAGTGGGAACACCCTTTCATGCCTTAAATGGGAACATAGTGATAGACTCTGGAACCCCTCTCACATACTTTCCTGTGAGCTACTGCAACCTAGTAAGAAAGGCAGTGGAACGTGTTGTGACAGCGGATCGAGTAGTTGACCCGAGCCGCAATGACATGCTTTGCTACTATTCAAACACCATAGAGATCTTTCCGGTGATCACAGTGCATTTTTCTGGCGGTGCGGATCTTGTCTTGGATAAGTACAATATGTATATGGAACTGAATAGAGGAGGAGTTTTCTGTCTGGCTATTATATGTAATAATCCAACACAAGTAGCTATCTTTGGGAACAGAGCACAGAACAATTTCTTGGTGGGTTATGATTCTTCTTCACTGCTGGTTTCTTTCAAGCCCACCGATTGTTCTGCATTGTGGAATTGAAGAAACAAACCAAGAGAGTCTCTTTTCGATCTTTATTATTATTTTCAACTTCAGTTTGTTTGGTTTTTTTTTCCGGTTAACTTCAGTTTGTTATTTATATTTTTCCTAACAATAAAAGCATAGAACATGGATATGTTTTAATGAAAAATATGCAAAGTTACTTATAGGCGCTTGTGTTTAAATTTATATTTCTAGGCATGGATTGGATGTTTTGCTTAAAGATTAGCACCTTCCAGTACATGTTTCTAGGAAGTGTGAAGTTTGAATGTGCAAGAGATTCAAACTTGTCTAGCCTTCTTAAGAATTATTTTTATGTTTCCAATCTTTGCAAGTTGATTAAAACATATATTAGCAGATAAAAAATGTTTGGTCGCATACATTAGAGTCAATAGCATAAATAATTTCTTGGCTCCGAACTGGTGAAAACTGAAACGGGTAAAAGTCTCATGTATAAATTTTACATATTATAGAATAATTAAAATTTTGATTGTTAACGTGACCAAATGTTTAGTTAGTATAGCTTTGATTATTTGGTTGACTTTGTCTCTATCACTCTTGGGAAAAAAAAGATCAAACTGTTGTTTGAGAATGGAAAATACTCTTTGGGTATCTTACCAATGAATATATTAAGTAGTGAAATTCTTCACTTAAATTAAATTAAATATATTAATATTATATATTATATTGGTGAGATAGCCACAGGTATCTCATAAATGGAGATGATTTTATGGCAAGAAAATTAGGTTATCCAAAAACCATATCTATCTAAAAAAGTTTATTTTGCATTTTGGGTTCATTAACAATAACTTTAAACTAAAAATTCCAAGATATTCTACATTTTTGTAGGTGATCATCGAATTTCCGTTAATACAAAGTAAATAAAAGGAACAATGTAAAACCCGAAAACAAAAGTAAAACTTAGTTGTAACAAAATGTAAAATTCCCACAAGTTAGAGTGTTAGACGTAATGGAAATAACAAAATTGGACGAAGTTGACAAAATTGGAAAATTAACAATAACCACAAAAGCTCTAACATGTATAAATATGTGCATGAATGAAGAACATTTCATTGTGCCTAAAAAACCAAAAATATTATTCGATATCATAACATGTTTTCTCTTGCAAACACAATGATCGTTCTCTTTCTTCAAATCATAACATGTTTTCTCTTTACCACCACAGCCTCACCACCTCACGGCTTCACCATGGACTTGATCCACCGTCGCTCCAATGCATCTTCTTCTCGACTCTCTAATACTCAACTCGGATCATCACCTTATGCGGATACCGTCTTTGATAACTCCGTGTATCTAATGAAACTACAAGTCGGTACTCCTCCTTTCGAGATCGAAGCTGTCATAGACACCGGAAGTGAGATCACATGGACACAATGTTTGCCTTGTGTTCACTGCTACAAACAAAACGCTCCCATATTCGACCCTTCGAAATCCTCGACCTTCAAGGAGAAAAGATGCCATGACCACTCTTGTCCTTACGAGGTTGATTACTTCGACAAAACCTACACCAAGGGAACCTTAGCGACCGACACAGTCACAATCCATTCCACTTCAGGGGAACCCTTTGTGATGGCTGAAACTATTATTGGTTGTGGCCGCAACAACTCATGGTTTAGACCTAGTTTTGAGGGCTTTGTTGGTCTAAATTGGGGACCTTTATCGCTCATCACTCAGATGGGCGGTGAGTACCCAGGTTTGATGTCTTACTGTTTTGCTGGTAACGGAACTAGTAAGATCAATTTTGGAACAAACGCTATTGTCGGAGGAGGTGGGGTTGTATCAACCACTATGTTTGTCACGACGGCGAGACCAGGTTTCTATTACCTAAACCTAGACGCGGTCAGCGTTGGGGACACCCGCATTGAGACACTGGGGACACCGTTTCATGCCTTAGAAGGGAACATAGTGATAGACTCTGGAACCACTCTCACGTACTTTCCTGAGAGCTACTGCAATCTAGTAAGACAGGCAGTGGAACATGTTGTGCCAGCGGTTCCAGCAGCAGACCCGACCGGCAATGACCTGCTTTGCTACTATTCAAACACCACCGAGATCTTTCCGGTGATCACAATGCATTTTTCTGGCGGTGCGGATCTTGTCTTGGATAAGTACAATATGTTTATGGAATCATATAGCGGAGGACTTTTTTGTCTGGCTATTATATGTAATAACCCAACACAAGAAGCTATCTTTGGGAACAGAGCACAGAACAATTTCTTGGTGGGTTATGATTCTTCTTCACTGCTGGTTTCTTTCAAGCCCACCAATTGTTCTGCATTGTGGAATTGAAGAAACAAACCAAGAGAGCCTCTTTTCTTTTCGACCTTTTCTATTATTTTTCAACTTCAGTTTGTTAGTTATTACTCCCAAAGAGTGTCATTTTAGAGTTTTGCACACAGATTAAGAAAACATTAAATTTTTTGTTTTTTTCTAAACAAAAACATCATTAACTATGTACCTAAACATAATCTGCCAAATAGTAAAACAATATGCAGAATACTAATAGTCATAAAACATAAAAAATCATTAAATTTTGCATTGAAAACCTAAAACGACACTCTTTGTGAAACAAAAATAAAACCTTAAAACGACACTCTTTATGAAACGGAAGGAGTATATTTTTCCTATCAATAAAAGCATTGAACATTCATGGATATGTTTTAATGAATAATATGCAAAAGTTGCTTACTCGCTTCTGTTGAAATTTATATTTCTAGGCATGGTGGGTTGCTTAAAGATTCTAACTAATGTTGTATTGGCAAATATTACCACCTTCCAAATGATAATTAAGTTTGTAGAAAAACAGAATAAAACGTAAAATATCATATCCAAACCTCTTTAGATCCCTAGCTAGGAGCCACAGAATTCAAACTTTTTATTCCTTGTTTTAGCCATCTTCATTATTTTCATGTTTCTAATCTTTGCAATTTGATTAAAACATATCTAATAGAATTGCAGCCTTGCACATTCACTGAGCTTCCATAGAATTTTCATTTGAACAAAAGGTTAGATGTTGTCGAAACCCTAGGAATATCTTTTAACTCTTCGATGATCACCTCTTGATCTTCAAGATCGAACGGCGGAGAGATCGTTCTGGTCTTTACACGCTTAGAGTTGGCTAAAATGTATGTCAAGAATTCTTAGCGTTACAAGAAAAACATCGATTTCCTACGGCTAAAAACATCGATTTCTTACCAAAGAGTATTTGTAGGAAATTTACTTCGAATTTCCTAGTAACAATTTCGTAAGAATTTGGTAGGAAATTTCTTCTACCAAAATTTTGGTAGGAAAAATCCTATGTCTTCTTCTACTCTATCTCCATATCCTCTCCACTCGAATATCTCTAGCTGTAATGACAAGCATCCGGGAACAAGACTCGGTTGGTTCCATGAAAATGGAAGATCTTCGGGTTTATAGATATATTGCTGAGAAGCAATGATGGGTATATATTGAGCAAAATTTTAACTAGTATTTTAGTCCATCAAAGCTAGGACAAGAAGAGGAGAAAGATACGTACATAATCACCTACCAAAAATTATTTTAGTTTTGGAGCATTTCCAAGTAAAAGTAGGAGTGGTTCCAACCAGTATGATCCACATGGCCATATGCTTAAATTTTTAAGGCGAGAGAAGTTGATAGAAGTTTATGGTGGTCCAACGCATAACCTGGAACGAAACAAACACAACTTAAGTAGGTAGATGCAACAATGAACAAGAAAGAGATATAAATTATAGAGGTACGTACCATTGCATCAGACAAATACATATGAAGAGACAAGGCCAAATAAAAGGAAGTTAGAAAGCTATCATCAGGATACTCAACATCAAATGTGCATCCTCCATACAGGGCATATCCTCAACCGTTGGTCATTGCAGGAGCATCTACAACCAAACAGTTATGAGTATGATCTACTACATCATCGCTACTAGACCAGTAATTAATATACCACAAGTCACATAAAGAAGGCACGTTAATAGTAAACTTTTTCACATTGTCATCTTCTTGTCATCTTCTTTCCGTATCACAAACAAGATCTCGTGAACATGGCAGCTTGACCAGAGGAGCTTGATTTTTAGGTTAATCACCAAACAATCAACAGCTTTTGCAACAAACTTTCCGATATCAACATCATCAGTAGTAGGGCATTTTGGACCAAGTGCCATACATGTACAAGCTATCTATTATAGTGCCTTGTGGAGATGCAATGAGTTGTTAAGAAACAACCAAACACTCAGAGTGTAGTTACTAGTTACCGACAGGCCCGGCCCAAATGGGGTATGCAGAGGGGCAGTGGCCCATGGAACAATAGACTTTTGTAAAAGTTTAATATGAAAAAGGCTTATATCTAAAAATAACAAATTATAAATTGGCATGAACTTTCTAATAAATGGGCACAAAATTTACAAAATTATATTCCTTTTACATATAAAGGCCTATATATTTTAAATTTTTTTTAAAAATAAAGCAAAAGTTATTTACAAAATAGTCCCGATTTTAACCAAAAATTTGAAAAAATCTTTCAAAACAAATTAAGTAAAAAAATCCAAAATTTATTTTTTGCCCAAGGATCCAAATATATGTTGGGCCGGGGCTGGTTACCATCGTCCAAATATTGAGCCATCGTTTCGACAGAAACATGGTGGTCGTTACTGCCTCTTTCGTCGGGATAAGATCCAATATCATTACGAGCCACTCTTCTGGTAAAAACACTGATTATGTCTTCATAAACGGTCTCTTCAATTTTGTCAGCCATCTCCACGCCGTAAAACACAAGGAACAATTTGTTTTAGGTTTTATTACATGTAAAAGTAGCACTAAATATTTCAGCTGTGCCTACAAGGAAAATATTAAGAACGCTTCTGTCAAAATAAGAAGATGAAGTTGTAGAATAGATTTCTTATTATTCACGTAGATGGAGGCAATGCCTTATATACACATACATAGTTAACCTAATCGATCATATTTGAGTTATATGGGCTTAGGGGCTTTATCACAGCCCAACACCCTCCCGCAAACTGGAGTGTGGAGATTACAAACACCCAGTTTGACAAGAAATTCTTCAAACTCTCGTCGTCCTAAAGCCTTGATCATGATATCCGCGAGCTACGACGATGTGGAAACATGCTTTGTAGCTATGGTGCCGTTGATGATCTCGTCACGAACAAAATGGACATCACGACCCACATGTTTGGTGCGAGCATGATAGACGGGATTGGCAGCGAGACTAATTGCAGAGAGACTGTCCGAATACAACATGATGGGAGCGTTGACTTGAATGCCAAGGGCAGGAAGTAAAGCACGGATCCATAGAAGTTCACTTACCGTGTCAGCCATGGCACGATATTCTGCTTCAGCGGAGGAGCGAGAGACTACATCATGTTTCTTTGTTTTCCAAGATAAAGGAGAGCCTCCCAATTGAATGAACCAACCGGTTAAGGAACGTTTTGTAAGAGAACATTTGCTAAAGTCAGAATCACACCAACCCGTAAGAACCAAAGACGTATTTGAGCGGAGTAGAATACCTTGCCCTGGATTCGATTTAAGGTAGCAAACAACGCGAAGAGCTGCTTCCAAATGGGCCGGTTTGGGATCATTCATAAATTGGGAAAGAATGTGAATGGAATAGGAGAGCTCAGGTCTAGTTGTTCCAAGGTAAATGAGTCTACCAACAAGACGGCGGTACCGAGATGGATCAGAAATAGTATCACCCGAAGTTAAAGCCAGTTTATGATTCTGTTCTAGCGGATGTGATACGGGTTTCACGCCAAGCCAACCAGATTCGGTAATAATGTCAATGGTATACTTGCGTTGACACAAGTAAATACCCGCAAGACTTCTAGCAACCTCAATACCCAAGAAGTAACGAAGAACTCCAAGATCCTTCATATAGAAACAGGAACTCAAATACTCTTTAAACTCATTGATGACAGCAACCGACGAACCCGTAATGATCAGATCGTCTACATAGACAAGAACATGAAGTCTGATTCCTTGTCTTTCCATAGTAAATAAAGAGTAATCAGAGATATCCTGGATAAAACCATAGTCTTTGAGAGCTGAAGTAAGCTTAGCGAACCAACAACGCGGAGCTTGTTTTAAACCGTACAAAGATTTCCTCAAGCGACAAACTTTTGTTTTGTCATTTGTTCGAAAACCCGGAGGAAACTTCATATAGACCTCTTCGTCAAGATCGCCGTGTAAGAACGCATTATGGACGTCCATTTGATGAACTTCCCAATCAAGTGAGGTGACTTGCTGAAGAAAGGCGCGGATAGTAACCATTTTTGCAACAGGAGCGAAAGTTTCCGAGTAATCAATACCTTCAGTTTGATTGTTACCAAGAACAACTAGTCTTGCTTTGTGACGTTCAAGAGTTCCATCAGATTTGCATTTGAGACGAAATACCCATTTACAACCTAGAGCTTTCTTTCCAGGAGGTAAATCTTCTACTGTCCAAGTGCCAAGATTTTCAAGAGAAACAATTTCGTCAGAAACAGCACATCTCCAATTCTCATCAAGAACAGCTTCTTGATAACTATGAGGCTCATTTCCAGAAGTGATGGCGAGAAGATAAGCTTGATAGTTTTCCGAGAATTGGGAACTAGAGATATAGTTATCCAAGGGATATGGAGTAGCAGATGGGTATGGCTCATGAAGAAGAGTAGTGACATAATCAGCGAGTTTAACCGGAGGATTTTTTGGACGTTTCCCTTTGCCAAGAAGCTCAGGCTCAACCGTAGGAATAATCGGAGTCGACGAAGGAGAAGAAGAATCCGCAGCATTGGAGGATTTTGACTTGTTAACTTCTGTTGTGTTCTCAACTTGACTGAAATCATGATCAGAATCGTTGTCGGAAATGGCATCATCAACACTGTCAATAAGTACCGACGGAGCCGGAGAAGACAAGGATGGGACCGGAACAATAGCTAACGGGAGCGACGGTGATTCTGTAGGGAGAGGAGCCGGAGTAGATGCAGCGGGCTGCAAATCATCAAAATCAACGGATGGCGACGAAACAGAGGAAGGCAGAGTCGGAATGTCATTTGCAGTGATAGGAAAATGAAATTCAGTTTCTGTGAAAACGACGTCACGCGAAATAGAGACAACGCCGGTTTCGATGTTGTAAACTCTCCATCCTTTCTTTGCAAAAGGATACCCAAGAAAAATAGATTTGTTACTGCGGCTTTCAAATTTGTCTCCACCATGTTTTTGGTTATGTGCATAACAAATGCAACCAAATACTCGGATATGATTCATGGGAGGAGGACGGTTATAGATTAGCTCAAACGGTGTCTTGCCTAGAAGAAGTTGTGTAGGCGTGCGATTGATGAGGTATGCTGCAGTGAGAGCGCAGTAACTCCAAAACTCAACAGGAAGTCTTGCTTGGAAGAGAAGCGCACGGGCGACGTTAAGAATGTGTCTATGCTTGCGTCCAACACGACCGTTTTGTTGAGGAATACCAACGCAGGATGTTTCATGTATAATCCCGTGTTGAGCAAAGAAGGAAGACAAGCAAATAAACTCCGAACCGTTATCACTTCGAATCGTTTTGATTTTGGTAGAGAATTGCCTTTCTACAAGTGAGACGAAGTTCTTAAAGTGCGTAGGAGCTGCTTGTTTGGAGGGTAAGAGATACACCCATACAGCCCGTGAGTAATCGTCGACAAGTGTAAGAAAATAGCTAGAGCCGCAGATAGAAGGAGTCCGATAAGGGCCCCAAAGGTCACAGTGTACCATTTCAAAAGCAAAACTTGTCTTATTACTGCTCAAAGGAAAGGGATCCCTTGTATGTTTAGCACGAATACATATTTCGCATGTCTTTGAATCACAAACTGTTGGGCTGTTGCGCAGCTTCTCTTCAAGCCATGGAGGGTAGCCGGTTAGTTTGAAACAATTTTCAGCAAGGTGACCTAAACGACCGCAATTAGAGCACACTCTGTTATCGGAAGTGTCTCTGTTTTCATTGAAGCTTCTGGTCCGTGATGTGGTTTGAACAACGAAGCTTACACCATCATTCCTTTCTTCATTCAAACGACTCAATGCCTTTGATTCTTCGTCTTGAGTCAAGACATTGTAAGCTTCCTCGAGAGAAGGAAGTGGCACTCGAGAAAGAAGAGCTGACTTAATTGCTCCATAAACATAATCATCAAGCCCCATGAGAAACTGATGCAATTTGTCTTCTTCACGCTCTTTGCGCACTTCCTCCATGGTTTTAGCTTGTTGATAATCTGCCAAACTTCTCCATAATTGAGAGAGCTTGCCGTAGTAAGTTTCAATAAGCAAACCTTTTTGACGACAAGTTGCTAGCTCTGTTTTAAGGCGTTGAACACGCTGCCCGTTTTTAACACCAAAACGTTTTTGAATATGAGTCCAAAGTTCGTAAGAATCATCAAGATGAGACATCAAAGTTGAGATGCTCTCATCAAGTGTGAGTTTCATCCACGAGACTACCAAGGCGTTATTTGCAGTCCAATCTTCAAAATCCGGGTTCGTTGCTTCTGGTTGTGGTATGGATCCATCGGCAAACCCAAATTTCTTTCTAGCTTTCAATGCTAACCGGAAGTTAGTAGCCCATTCGTCGTAGTTGGGACCTCGTAGCAATGGTTTGGAGATCAAAGTGCCTGGATTGTCGTTGGATGTCAGATCATAAGGTGAGATTGTACGTCTGGTTTCAGCCCTAGCTTGTGAAGTGGTGCTAGCAAGAGCTAATTCCGTACTCATGACGAACAGAAGATTTGATATAAGTGTTTAGAGAAAGAATAAGAAACGATCTCTTGTAGCGGAAGGAGAGATCACAGAATCGATTACAAAACCCTTTAGAAGTTAGGTTTTGTGCTCTGATACCATGTCAAAATAAGAAGATGAAGTTGTAGAATAGATTTCTTATTATTCACGTAGATGGAGGCAATGCCTTATATACACATACATAGTTAACCTAATCGATCATATTTGAGTTATATGGGCTTAGGGGCTTTATCACAGCCCAACAGCTTCGGCTAAGAGCAACTGAAAACCCATTTAATAGGTTTCGGTTGGAATTTACAGAGGTTGGACAAACGGGAATTCGGGACGCAATTTTACGGGAATAGCCGAATAGGAAAACATGTCCCATTTAATCTTTGAGACGGGAACGAGACAGGATGGAAACGGGATATATTTAAAGATTCTAATGTTGTATTTACAAAATATTAGCACCTTCCAAATGACAAAATTCTGTTAGTAGCCTTTAATTAACCTTGGAAGAAGAGAAAGAAATCTATTACTCTCTCCGTTTTGTTTTAGTTGTTGTTTAAAGTTTTTTCACACAAATTAAGAAAAGCATTAAATTTTCTGTTTTACCCTTTATTAATATATCTTATAAAATTTTTCATTGGCCAAAACATTAAAACAATAGGGATAATACTAGAATTTTTACCAAACATTTGCATTGAAAACCTAAAACGACAACTATTACGAAACAAAATTTAAGTCCTAAAACGACAACTAAAACAAAATGGAGGGAGTATAAAAGTAAAATCTCACCTTCTAAATCTCTTTAGAAATCTTAGGCATGACTGATCCTGAAATATAGGAGGCCCAATAAAAAAAATTTGGAGAGGGGAAGGGGGTTTAATGAGATCAAATTTTCAAACTTCAAAAAAATTAGGAGCCTAATTTGCAATTAAAACTTAATTTGGCGACCGATTTATACATATGATGGGGCTACAATATTTTGTCGGCCTTAGACCCAAGCTTCACCCTTTAGAACCCTAGGATCCACAAGTTGTGATTATTTCACCGAACGAGCCGTTTGAGCCCTTCTCATACGGTCAACTATAGACTTTCTAGCACGGTGTGAATCGTTTCCTCTACCTTAGCGTCTGAAGCAAGTAACTTACCTTTTCTCTTCAAATCTTCATGTTTTAGGGTTTTTTTTTTTCTGGTTTAGGTTTTTAAATAGATTTTCTATCTCTTAAGTTTGGTTAAAATTTATGTCTCTCACACAGTTTTTTTTTTCAGATTTTGCTGTGTGGTGATTATCTACTTTGGCGGTTGATGCTTGTTACCTAATCGCTGAAAACTCTATTCAGATTAATCAGCCTGTTTAGGGTTTCGTAAAAAGATGGATAGGATCAACGGTCTATCAGATGACATTATATGCCACATATTATCTTTCCTTCCGATTAAAGAGTCTGCTTTAACATCTGTTCTCTCGAAGCGTTGGCGTAAATTGTTTGCCTTCACACCAAATCTTCTTATAGATCATGACCTTGAAGTGAGTAGTGGACAAAGTTTCGGCGATTTTATGGATAGAGTATTGGCTGTGTCAGAAAATTTTCCCATAAGGAAAATCTCAATAAAATGTCGAAACTATAGTAACTACTTGTGTCATGTCACCCGCTGGATGTTTGATGCGCTGGAACGTGGTGTTGTTTATCTTGATATAGACATAACCGGTCATAAACCAGGTTTGATTTTATGTCCTCTTGAGATCTTCACTTGCAAGACAATGGTTGAGCTGAAACTAGCAAAAGGATTTCATGCTATGATTCCTGATGATGTTTCTCTTCCATCACTTAAGAGTCTCTTTCTTGATTCGATTTATTCCTATAATAGTAAGTATTATGTTTTGGGAAAGCTTATTTCTGCTTTGCCTGTTCTTGAGGAATTAACCATTCATGGTGGGAGCTGGGAGAGGGATAAATGCGGTCCCACCGTGTCCTCTTCAACCCTTAAGAAACTTACTATCAAGTGTCCTAAGTTTAATATGTCAAGCAATAGTTGGGACGTGATTTTCGATACTCCGAGTCTTGCCTACTTAGAATACACTGATGTAGTTCCAAGAGAGTATCCAATTGTGAATCTTGAATCCCTTGTCGAAGCTAAGCTTGATCTTCGTTGTCATCTTGGTATTTGCAATCCAACAAATCTGATTAAGGGTTTAAGAAATGTGGAGGTCTTGGATTTATCATCTATTGATACTTCAACGGTAAAGAATGATCTCTTCTCTTTTTCTTTCCCTATATGTATGAGCTCTAAATCTTGTTACATATAAAAACGTTCTTGTTAATTACTATTGACTAGTTGATGTTTTTTTGTTTTTTTCAGATGTTACATTATTTCCGTGAAGCAATCCCAATGTTCAGCAACCTGATTCGTTTATCTATTACAACTAATTTAAGTTTCTACGATTCGGAATATTTTCCAATACTTCTAAAAAATTCTCCAAATCTACAGACTCTCATCATCAAGGTATATATAACCGAAACCCCGAAAGATTTTTGGACAAACTCAAATCTCTAATATTTCATCTTGTTTCAGAGTTCATTATTGCACGTTAATAAATGTGAAGAAGGATATGGATTGTCATGTCCTGTGAAAGTATTGAAGATATCTGAATATGGAGGAATCGATGTGGAGCTAGAGCAAATGAAACATTTCCTAGAGAAATTGTCATGTCTTGAGCTTGTCAAAGTTCATGCTTGTGCAATAAGCGACAAGGAAAAGTTTCGAATCACCAACGATCTGCTAATGGTTCCTAGATCGTCCAAGTGCAATATCCAGATCAAGTTTTATGAGAAAACTAAGTAAATGCATGAAAAAACATTGTTCCCTCCTGGTTTTATAGTTTAGTATGTTGGAACATTATTCAGTTTGTATGCATATTTGGTGATTACTCTGCTAATCAATAACGTTACCATTTTTTAGCCAACTCGAAACATATTATTATTGATTTTTCCAAGTAAGAGGTGAGGTGAAACGCACAATGCGGGATTAGGACTCCATCACCTGGTGCAACGGGTCAAAGTCTCATGTCTAAATTTTACATATTATAAATTTTTTGATAGTTAATCAAGTGACCAAGCTTGAGTTTGTCATTTGTGAAATTGGAGATTAGGGCCTCAAGTATTCATCAGTTTACCGCCTTACCGGGGAAAAGACCGTGTTCATTAGTTACCGGTGAAGAGACCTCAATGTGAATGTGTTCAACGACAACATTCTGACTTGTCTAAGTTTTATTTTTGCAATTTCTCTTGTAGCAACAATCATAATGATCCTTGGACAAAAAGAAGATTATTATTTCTCGTTATTGTTGTTAACAAACTACTCATATTCCCCCAAAAAAGAAAAACATTGCAGATAAAATGGGGGATGACAAATGTGCAAAAAGACAAAATATGCCATTGTGATGATAAGATGTTGTGTTTTGATTATACCATGAGACCCTCAGGAGCAGCAGCAGCAGCAGGAGCCTTGGGTTTCGGCTTGTCGACAACAATGGCCTGAGTGGTCAGTACCATTCCTGCAACGGAAGCAGCGTTCTGTAGCGCACATCTCGTCACTTTTGCGGGATCAATCACTCCAGCTTCCAACAGATTCTCATACGTATCAGTCATCGCGTTGTACCCTTGCTCCCATTCGCTGAACATAATCTTTTCCACAACAACTTCTCCTTCAACTCCAGCGTTCTGGGCAATAAGTGCAGCTGGTGACAGCAATGCCTGAGCTCAAAACAAAAACTCATGTAAGATCAAATAGTCACAATTGATTACAGAACAAACACTGAACCGAAAAACCAAATGCTCTAACTTAGGAATCTTACCTTTTGTACTATATCAGCTCCCAAACGTTCATCAGCATCCTCGAAAGTCTCCTTAATGGCGGGAATAACAGTAGAGAGATGCACCAAAGCAGCACCACCACCTGGAACTATGCCTTCCTCGATAGCAGCAAATGTTGCATTCTTTGCATCCTCGATACGGAGCTTACGGTCCTCAAGCTCCGTTTCAGTTGCTGCTCCGACTTTAATGACAGCAACACCTCCAGATAGCTTAGCGATTCTCTCAGCGAGCTTCTCTGAGTCATACACAGAATCAGTCTCGGATAGTTCTTTCTTTAGCTGAGCAATCCGAGCTTGTAATTCGTCCTTGGAAGCTGCATCTGCAATAAGGGTAGTCGAATCTTTGCTAATCGTGACTTTTCGGGCAATACCCAATTGATCTATGGTTGCGTTTTCAACCAGCAAGCTCATGTCCATGGCTAGGTACTCAGCTCCTGAAGAACATACGAAAAGATAGAAAGTTTAGACCACAACAGAGAGAAGGTAAAAATACTAAACCCAAGCAAAGTCTTGCATATACCTGTCAAGATTGCAATATCTTGAAGCATGGCTTTTCTTCTTTCTCCAAATCCTGGAGCTTTAACTGCAACGACATTGAGGACACCACGGAGCTTGTTCACGACAAGGGTAGCTAAGGCTTCACCCGTAACATCCTCTGCAATAATCAACAATGGAGCACGAAGCTGAGTGGTCTTCTCCAAAATAGGGATGATGTCTTTGATTGCAGTGATCTTCTGATCAGTGATCAAAACCCTAGCATTCTCAAACTCAGCTAGTAGTTTCTCAGGGTTTGTAACAAACTGAGGCGAGATGTAACCTCTGTCAATCTGTAATTCAAGGTAAATAATCAAGTTGGTCATTGGTAATTAATGGTAAATCAAATTAGAGTTGAAGAGAATCAAGACTAAAACTCATACCTCCATCCCTTCTTCAACTTCGACCGTGGTCTCAAAAGAGGATGAAGATTCGATGGACAAAACACCATCAGGTCCAACTTTGTCAATGGCATCAGCAATCATTGACCCTATAAGGTCATCATTTCCAGCAGAGATAGAAGCCACAGCTGGAAAAAATAAAACAGATTGATTAGTAAAGCAATCAACATTGCTGCATCACAAGGAAGGTCATTGCAAGGTTAGTACCTCTGATGTCATCACGACCTTTCACAGGCCTAGCTTTCTTCTGAAGCTCTTCAATCAGACCTTGCACGGTCTTATCAATTCCCCTCTTGAGAGAAACGGGATTTGCACCAGAAGTGACACTCAACAATCCATGTTTGATTATCTCCCGAGCAAGGATAGACGCAGTGGTTGTCCCATCACCAGCCGAGTCATTAGTCTTACTCGCAACCTACCACATAACCACACCGTATAAATAACATTAACAGAAACAATAAGAAAGCTGCATGCTCTCTCACACCAACCTCACGAATAAGCGCAGCACCAGCATTTTCCATGGCATTAGGTAACTCAATAGCCCTTGCAATGGTGACACCATCATTCACCACCTTAGGACTTCCAAATTCATCCAACACAACATTCCTCCCTTAAGAATAACAAATGAAAACACCAAGATAAGTCGATAACACAGATGAAGATAGTGAATGTAAAAGAGCTACTAATAATAAATACCTCTAGGACCAAGAGTGAGACCAACACAATCAGCAAGCTTATCAATACCAGCTTGAAGAGCAGCTCTAGAGTGCTGGTCAAAAGCTATTTCTTTTACATTTGCTCTAACGCTAAAACGTCTGTTTGTCCTCTTGTTGTAGCTAACTCTCTGACCTTGCTGCTGATTTCCTCCTCCCAACTTACTCTGTGTACCCACAAAATGAATAAAGCAGATTCATTTACATCATTATCGATCAATTTCTTCTATTTCCCAAATAAATCAACCATTTTTACACCAACCCAGAAACCAAATAGATAAAAGCAATCGAAACAGAACAAAGTAAAGGGTCAAATTCAATTTCTTCAAAAACCCAGAAACCAAATAGAGAAAGGTAATTGAAAACAGAACAAAGTAAAGGGTCAAATCCAATCAAAACAAAGTAATGTAAGATGATTCATTTTCTTCTTCAGTAAGTAGCTAGAGAAGATAAAAAGGAACAAACTTTGCTACCTGACGGGAAGAGCAGAGGACGGAGGCGGAAGAGAGAGCGTTAGCGGACGCCATTTTGAGAGAAAAGGAGCGAGCTTTTTGAGGAACGTTCTGGATTGGTGTGGATAAGGAAGTGGTTAGTGAAAACGAATAGTGAGAGGGTTAGGGTTTAGATAAATGGAGTAGCTGAAGAAAGGATCCAGAAGATTCTTTGCATTTCGTAACGAGAGAACCGTTGATTTTAATAAGGCTTTTTCACCTACTTTGATTTTTTTCTATGGGCCTGTTTGGCTCACTGTTTGTGGCCCAAAACGAAAAACAGTACTCAAGAAACTTGTATAGATCATTTTGTCTAAACTTGTATAGAAGCCCTTTTGGACATTTGGAGAAAAAGAAAAAAAAACAAAGACAAAATTAGATCTGGGCAAAACAATCAAATACTTTAAATAATCAACATATCCAAATGGTGTTAGTTTATTTGCCAAAGAAAAATACTCTTTAACGAAATTGAACCAAATTTTAATTTTCTTTCTTTTTTCCTTTTTTGTATTTTTTTCGATTAATTTTGGTTAATTTCGGTTATATTCGGTTAATTTTGGTTATTTTGGATCCGAACATTCGAACAGAACCGAATCGATCCGAACCAAAATTACTAAAATATCTGAATGGTTATTATATTATCATATCCGAATTATTCGAAACCAAAGACAGCCGAACCGAAACAAAATGGTTAACCGAATGTCCAGGCCTAAACAAAATGATCTATACAAGTTTCTTGAGTACGGTTTTATGATGCTATAAAGTATAAACCATTTTAAGCTAAAATCCAGACAAAGGCAGACATATATGTTGCGATACGAGGGAGATTTAGACTGTGTCCGGTGATGTGAGTTGTGAGAAAACAGAGAAGAATTTAAATATAAACAAGAGATCACACACAGGACTTATTTATTGTGCTTCTTTGAGTTTGTGATTTGGAGACAAATAGGTATGTTTGTTTCTAATTTCTATTTATGAATACTACATGTTGTTTTATGTCAACGACAACACCTAATGGAATTTTGTTTTTCTGGTTTATCCAATTGATAGTTTGGGTATTCCAAACTCGTTTTAATCCATTCTCTTACTCGTTTGAATGTAATATAATCATAAAATTATAAAATCTATGTTAAGGCTTTGAGTAGATTTACCCGCTAAAGTAAAAAAGAAACCTTAAAGACAACACTTGCTAATTTTCCAAAGAGAGAATAGACTCCAAATCACCTAACTACTACATGATTGATATAGTTAGCCAAGACAATTTGTTTCTAATTTTTTTCCTAAACAAATGAAAGGAACCTTTCATATAATTATAGTTTATAGCTTGTTTGTTGTATGCATCATATACTACATGCATTAAATTAGTCTCCCATGAATATAATAAATTCACTAGTTACGGGGGTCTTGTCCTCGCAAAAGCAAAGTTGGGAAGTGAGATAATAAATCTGACAATAGTGGCAGTTTCAACTCTGAAGCGTCAATCACATAAATAGTTTCAGTTTGGCGTTGGATTTGATTTGATTTGATTTGAGTGAATTGACCAAATAAACACACTTAACTAGTTGACAAAAAAAAAAAAAAACACACACTTAACTAATAACAAAAAATATGTTACGTAACACAAAAATTACAAATAGAGAGAGAGAAGTGTACATGTAATGTATTTATTCCTCAAAAGATGCAGCTTACCATAAGATGACGTCCATATCTTAATGGAAACCGTGCCGTAAATTTGACTGCCAATATTGTACTATGTAGCAAACATGAGTAAACTAACAGTTGTCCGATGAAAAGAAAGAGACTCGTGTAATTTAAAGCATTACGACAAAATAAAAAGGAGTGAATAAATAACACTCTTGTTCTAGTAAAACTCTCATGTAATGATTTT